AAAAAAAAAGTTAAAAACAAGTTTGTGTCATGATTTTGTTAATAAAGTTAATACTAAAATATAAGTAGATATTACTAACACAGAATTGCACTTTTATATTTTGAAGGTGTAAATTTTATAATTTATCAAGAACAAAATGTATTGTGATAAGTGAATTTAATACTTATCCAAGTATACACACGTGGCTAGTCATGATGAGTAATGCCACTAACCCTTGAGCTTATCCCTTAGCATGTTGGCAACTTGATCAAGACTTAATACTTAAGAATAGGGCTATATATATACATGTGCATAAAATAACTTAGAACCGCACATTACTCCGTAAATGATAAAAACTAACAAGTACTTGTAGGAGCTTTAAACTAAGTCTAGGGTAAGAACTACCATAGTCCATAGCTATTAAGCTTGAACAACATCAAATTAACGGAGAAGAAGTTCGCTAGAGTCCGTCAACGTACCACGAACTATTGTCCATCGGGGTCTTTCCTCCATTGAACCAAGGTGAGTATCGCCGCCCGTATAACAATCGATACTTAATATAATACGTATATTTATACAATGATTTCATGTATATATTCTATTTAATTTTTGTCACTAGAATTCGGGAAAAAATAGCGTAAATTATTTCGAACATGCTTTACGTCCAAACTTTCTATAATTAGCTCAATAAGGTTTTGAATAAGTTATTATATAAAAGAAGATGTTCTTAATGAGTTTTACCCAAATAAGAAAAAAAGATGGTTTTGAAATACTCTATGTTTATTATTAGATTTGCATATTAATTATTTATATAAAAGTATAATATGAGTTGAATTTGAAATATGAATTTTAATGGGATACAAATGAATACAAATTATATTTTCTAAAATTATCAAACGATTTCTAGTATGTGAACTACGGTTCACAAGGTTCCACAGGGTTAACCAGTACCCCTCCATTGCCGTACGTACGAGCTCGTCATAATGGACTCGTCTTGTACCCAAAGTACTTGAAGTCCCAGAAAAAGATAACGGACTCGTCTTGTACCCAAAGTACTTGAAGTCCCGAAAAAAGATAATGGACTCGTCTTGTACCCGAAGTACTTGAAGTCCTAGTTAAACAAAGAGCTAGTAAAAGAAAAGTTGATTTTCTTGATACTACAGTTTTATACAATAATATGTTTATATTATCAAAGTAAAGAGTTTTGAGAAAAGTATATGTCTACGCTATTATATTTCGTACCTTTTGTTATAATTGGTACCACTCAGCTTTTGCTGATCGGGTTGGCTCCATTTTTTTAGGTACACAAACAGAATAGTGACCGAATCGGAGGACAATGATAAGGCGATGGAAGGATAGACGAGATGACATAAAGAAAGATAATAACAATAAAGATGTTATTTTGAAATATATATTTTGTACGAATATGTTAAGCTTCCGCATGTATAATAGTTACTCTGATATTATCAATAAATAAATAAGTTTTGTTTAATGCTCCATTTTCCGATTCAAAAAGTTAGATCCGTTAACACCGCGAGTCGGATATTCGAATAAATTCGGGTATCCGGGTCGTGGCTTTACTATATATATATATATATATATATATATATATATATATATATATGTATGTATGTATGTATGTATGTATGTATGTATGTATGTATGTATATATATTGGAGACCGTAAAAAATCAAATGAAAAGTTAATTTTAGAATGGAGAGAGTATATTGAAGTAAAATTTTTTATTATTTTTAAACATTGGGATGATGATCATATGTATAATTATTAATTAATTTACCAATCTATAATACATCTAATTACTTTTATTCTAGATATTGAATAATAATAGAAAAATGCATTGATTAAAGGAATAAGAAGTATATGATAGACTATATATAGATAGGTAATACAATCCCAACTAAAATTAGGAAACAATAATGAAAGTTGACTAAAACAAAAACTCTACCTTAATTAGTATTGATTATAACTTATTGTCTAACATCTTCTCTCAAGCTGAAAGTCGTGGCACGAATGGAAGCTTGGAAACAAGATCCTGGAAGCGCAGGTTAGGTAATAGCTTGGTGAGCACGTCGGCAAACTGATCTTCTGAGAATACATGAGACATACTCATAATACCAACAATAACTTGTTAATGAAAAAATAACAATCAGTGCCCACATGCTTCATACATTTATTAAAGACTTTATTCTTCGACATATAGCAGACTAGTTATCAAAAAAGAGCTGACGAGGCAAGACAAGTATACACAATTCATCAAGAACATAAGTGAGGTACATTACTTCAGAGGTAACAGAGGAGAGAGTGTGATACTCAGCTTCAGTAGAGGACTGGGTACTCTAGTATGCTTTTCTGTGCTCCATGATATAAGGTTCGGTCTAAGATAGATAAGATAACATCTGACTAAGCGCCAATCAGGCATATCATTCGACCAGTCTAAATCAGATTAAGCCCGTAGTTGTAGATCACCCGACCGAAACTCAAGATCTCTATCAACGATTCCTTTAACAAATCACATAATCCGCTTTAAGCTCTGAAAGTCATTCTCTGTACAACTATGCATGCGCTAACAGACACAGTTCATAGTAAACTAAATGTCTGACCGTGTAGTAACTTGATTCTACCCGTGCGATGAACGGTAAGAATAATATACACAGTAATAATAATCAATGTAATATATGAATAAGATACGATTACATAATATGAAATTGAATATTGATAAACCTTGTTCACATCATGTGGAAAAAATATTGATGCAGATACTAAAAATAATCACAGTGTCTTACATAGTTTACATATCGAACACACAAAATAAATAGAAGAAATGTTACAAAATCTAGACAACTTTTTTGTTCACAACACTCCAAGTGTGGTATAATGCATTGCTTTCTTCATGGCAGGTTAAAATTTTCAATCTTTCTATATTTGTCATAGTAACCAAAGTACACAAAGAATTAAGTGTGTCAAATGACCTTGGTATAAGCACAGCATGGTGGGAGTTATTCTTTTTTAGAAATGTTAGCTGTTTCTCAGAATTAGGTTTCAATGATGAATTGATTAAATCAGTTTTTTTAGAGACTTTATTCAACCAGTTTAATCATACTAAAAAAAATAAATGATTTAAATAAACAATGTGCTCTTTATTTATTTAATTTTAATTACGTCTAAAAGTTTTTTCTATTAAAAATTTAGAAGAATTAATTTAATAGTTTAATAATTAATGAAGTGGTAACCGTAAAAAAAAAGAAGTGGTAAGTGCTTTAAAAAAATTAGTGGTTCATTTGTATAACATAACGGCCAAAAATAAAAGTTTTCCCACCCCATATATTTTTTAGAAAGCCCCCGAAAATAAGTTACCCAGCCCACTTATGCTTGAGAATTTGAGCGGGAGAATTTTCCATTTGCTTTTGTAACGAGTAAGATGAGAGACTAAAGCCCTCTAACCTGGCTTAAAAACAAAGGAGGATCAGAAAATGGCTCGTCCCCACTTCCCTTAGTTTGGCCTGTCGAACACGAGGAGACGCAGTGGGCTTATAGTCAGGGGTGGACCCAAACATTTGAATCATGGGGTCGCATTTTAGAAAATTATAATCAAATCATCACACTTATAACATTAAATAAATAGTAATCCATAATACATAACATTAAAGTTTACATGTATTATAGAAATCACAAATTTAAAATAGTCTTGCATTGCAAATGTGAAATACATCTTAGAATTGATAACGTGTAATTTTCATATTTTGAAAGTGATTTGTCATTTTGTCATTACTAATAGTAGCAAATATATCTCTTTGTATATATGTCATTGGATAATCATTTAACCATTGGTCACACATTTTGTTTCGAACCATACCTCATTCTTTACAAACTTCATGCCCAAAAGAACACGCTCAACACTAGTAGTCGTTACTGGTAAAAGTAAAGCTAATCTTAAGAGTGTATAAACATGTTGATATGTCAGAGTCTTCTTCATAGAAACCATAGACAAATTAACAAGCCCATTCAAAGCAGTAAATCTACTATCTGTTCGGAAACATGACACGCTTTTTGTAACTGACTCAATAACGATATTTTTAAACCGAGAATTTTTTTCAACTAACTCTAAAAATAACATAATTTTCATATACCCTCAAAAAATAAAATTTCTTTGAGCGAAAGATATTTTGTCATCCTTACATTTATTCCTAAAACTCAAGAAAATAAAAAGTCTACAAAGTAATCTTCATTTCACTTCAAATTTGCATAGGGATTATTTGTTCCACAAATGCTTTTATTTCTTGAAATGCTTCTTTGCTTTCTTTAATCCAAAGTAAAAAAATTTGATTGTCGTTGTGTTTGTCATTTATCAAAACCTGAAAAAATAACATCACAAAAATGTACAAAGGGGTTTGAATAAGAGAGAGAGAGAGAGGAGGCACTGGAATGGAGTGGAGAAAGTGATGAAGAATACTACCGTCACCTCTGAAAAACGGAGAGCATCGACTAAAAATTGATTTTTAAAGGTAGGAAAATTGATTTTTAATATGCAAAGTCTAAAGCAAAATTCCAGTGACTCAAAATCGGTTTTTACAAAGATTAAAATCGATTTGTAAGATGGGAAGTTTGAAGCAAAGTTCAAGTCACTCGAAATCGATTTTTACAAAGCTGAAAATCGATTTTTAATGTGGGCAAAGAAATACTCAAGTTCCAATAGCTAGAAATTGATTTTGATGAATAGAAAAATCGATTTTGCTAAAGAAAAAGTGAACAAACAGTTTTGAAAACAAGTTCATCAATTTCAAGCTTTTGAGATGGTTCACAAAAGTGATTATCTGAGTAAAACCCCTGCAAAAAAGATTCATTGCGCCTCTGACGCTCAAGTTAGTAACGCATAAATACATAAAATTAATTAATAGAGATGTCCAAAATACCAAGTTCATTCCTAATGTGGAAGAAGCTCTCCCTACGAAGGGATTTTGTGAAAAATGTCCACCAATTCATGTTTCGTTTCAACAAACTCAATTGTGACATCTTCCTTTTGGACGTGATCTCTTATGAAGCGGTGCCTAATTTCTATGTGTTTAGTCTGAGAATGAAGAACGGGGTTCCTCATTAGACTAATTGCGTTCATATTGTCACACCTAATTGGGATATGATCAAGTATAAGGCCGAAATCCACTGGTTGTTTGTTTAACCAAAGAATTGGGGCACAACTTACCGTAGTGAAATATTCCCCTTTCGATGGTGGAGAGTGCAACACTAACTTGTTTCTTGTTAAACCAAGAGATTAACGAGTGACCAAACAAGTGGCAAGTACCGTTAGTACTTTTCCTATCAAGTTTGCATCCAGCAAAGTCCGAATCAGAATAGCCAACAATGTGACATTTTGCTTGGCCAAACATGGTGCACAACTAGACTAAATCCTACATTAAGGCATGCATCGTTGCACAGACAATGCGGCTAAACATCCCCCCAAACCAAGAATTTTTTCAATGAAGTACCTTTAAAATCATTGACTAAAAAAATCAAAACAAAAAGAAAGATATGGATTTTGCCGTTTTGGAATGGACACATGAAACAAAAACCCTGAACGATAAGCTTAATGAGGTAACCCATAAGTCCATAACTACTTTACAATAACACTCGTGGTCTATGCATCCCATAAGAAGTCGATACTGAGTTGCTATTATTACAGAATATAAATTTATACTCCCTCCGTCTCAAATTATAGTACATGTTTACTATTCACATGTTTAAACTTTATTTACTTTCTATAACTTTATTTTCACATGTCCACACCTTCTCACACGCTTTTCATGATCATACAGGAAGCACAAAGACACATCAGGTTCCAAGACGATAATGGCAACATTCATTTTGCTGGTTTTTGGCACAACATGTTTACTTTCTCTTCAAGTGTTCCTGGATTTGGCCATTTCCATTTAAAGTTGCTTAACCATCCAAACTGAAGAGGCAATTGCCATGATTGTAACTTCAAGAGCTGTTGGCGGTAAGGAATCAATATGTTCCTCAGGCCTGCATATAACACATTGAAACACAATTTAATACTGGTGTGTGTTTAAAAGGTATTTATACGCACCATGAAAGATTTGTTTATTACCGGAAATGCACATTGTTTTGTAAATGAGAGCAACGTGAGGATCACCCTTGGTATTCATGTGAGGCTTCTCCAAGCACTCAAGAAATGCGAGGTCTGCCTTGAGCAGCTCAGCTTGGTCATGAGTGTCATAACCAATGTCATGGCAATAGCAACAAAAGTCCAACCAATCAATCGGTCTAATATCCCAAATCGGAGATCCACCATTTTTCCCACTTGACCAATTTGGGCCACAGTAATGCCCATAGCGTGGAAACAGTTGTGATAGAAAACCCCTTGTACCTGTATGCCAAGGAACCTTTGAAACATACGGTCTGAATCGTATATAATTTGGGCCAACAAGTTCATTTCTGCCACGAGCTCGAGAGCGACCTTTTAGCTTTTGGTTGACAGTGGATGGCATTTGGATTTTATTCCTGGCAGAAATTGCCCAAGGAATAAATGAAAATATAGGCCATTCCCAAAACTTGATATCAATATGAGCATTTTGTCTAGGACTCTGTATCAGCACGGTAGTGGGCATTGTAGCTGATGCCATTTCATCTTTACATAGAAGGTTGAACCACGGGACATTATCAAGAAACCGAATATTCATTGTTATATAACAATCAGCAAATCTGTCAAAAGTTACAATCTCAATAACCAAAATGTTGTTAAACAAAGATTATCAATTCTATCAAACAAAAAATATAAGAAATCGAAATAAATGCAGTTGGGTTATTCAGTAGCAAGAAAAGAAATGGCCTGTGCAAGATATTTCCTCCCCCTTTCCTTTAAATATACAGTACAAATATAACATTCCGTAGCAAGCACAGCAACAATATTCCAAATTGCTCAACCCAGGAGCTAAAAATATCAAATGCCAAATAGAAAATAAGCTAAGATATCATGGGTATGAGGTTTCCTCTGCATTTCTTCCACAATTATTCTCAATCCTGCCTTTACCCTAATTCGGTTGAAAAATTTGTCAAGGGCGGACTACTGGCAGAGGAGAGGGACGTATTTGAATCTCAACTTGGTGCTTAAAATTTAGGTGCTGGAATCATAACCACTTCAGAGTTCCATTTTATTGCACATTGTCAAGTACTAGTGCAACCTTAGTGATTTCCAAGGACAAAGAATCAACTCTGCTTTCTTTTACAACAAAGGTATGCCTGGTGCCTAATAATAGGCTACTAAAAAGTACTAGTATTAATTATGGAGTAAAATTTTATTAGCATCGCCCCTTTCCCATTTCTCCCTTAGACTAAACAGCAGTGTGATCCTTGTCTCCTCCCCACACACTCTACCCACCCCTTCACCTTCAGTCCCACGTCAAACACAAAGTGCTTAAGCTTTCACAAACCAATTATATGGTTCCCGATTTAAGTATTCAAAGCTTTTAAACGCTCACTTCATTATAAGATTATTGCAGATCAAGTGGGAAGAATGGAAGACTGAAGACATATTAATTTGGTTAAGAGGTATATTTTCAGCAAAAATAATCAGACAGATTATTAGCGAAATTCCCGTGAAGCTGCAGCTTTTATTTTATTCAATTCAAGCTTATATACCCGTTATTTTTAGCTTCAAATAACAAAATAACTATTGAACTGAAAAGAAAATACTTCATGATTACAATAAAGGACTAGTCTATCAAGCACAGAACCGCCAAACCTGGGTAGAAATTGCGCGGCGGAGACAAGAATACTTGGGCATGAGTAGTGTAGTGCACGCCTAGGAGATTCAGAGTTGGCGGAGTAAGCGAGTTAGGGTTTTGAATTGAAGGGAGTGGGCGAAGGTGAATCCGTCGATGGTTGCAGCGAGTTGATCTGCTTTTGAGGAGTTTTCTCAGAGAAGGGTGGAACGACGAGAGAGATGCGGCGAGTCGGATCGGAAAAGTTTTTAGAACACTCAATTCCAACACTCAATTCTTATCCAGCACTACGCGTCCAATCGCCATTCGCTATTGATTCCAAGTGGACACGTACGGTTCTGGTACCAGCTCCTTCGCAGTTCGCACCGGTGCCTGCCTATTGTCACGGTGTCATAACCGTAATTTGTTTTAATTTTAAATCAATAAGTGTAAAATAATTTAAAGGATTATGTTATGCGTACACCAAGATTTGTACCCCAATTTGTACCCCGCAGTTTTGCACCAACATTTTGTGTTGGTGTAAAACTAATTTTTGTTAAACGCACCAACATTTGTGTCCGTGTGAATTTTTATTAACGCACCAACATTTGTGTCGGTGTAAACCATCGAAATGTTGGTGCAAACCTGTGGTGTACAAATGGGGTATATTTTTTGGTGTAAGTGTAGCATGGTCCTAATTTAAATGTCGAATGAATTATAGTTTCTAAGAATGTAATTGTTATTTAAATAATGAAAATAAATAGTATAAAAGCAACTACATTTAATATCCTGATGATTTAAAAAAAGCGACGAGATAAAGAAACGTAAAAAAATTCTCGAAAGAACTTAGAAATCGCTCACTTAAAAAAATTAATTAGAATATAAAATAAAAATACAATTTTATTCTTCGAAACTACCACTTCCCTCTGTATTTGCATCCATGTAATTTTGTGTTTCAATGTTGATGGGTGTATTTCCCACCAAAGACCTGGAATGGGTCGAGTACTACAGTAGCACACTGGGTGGTGCATGAATGGATCATTTAAAGGAAATTGCGATGAGTAGATCTGATCTGGCGGGTCCCATACCACCCGGGTGGTTAGGCACCCATGACGTTATCGGTCAGGAAGCAAGGGTTGACGAAAAGGTCTTTAGGCCACCAAGGCGTCCCTTTGAAGGAACCACCCGGCTGAGTCATTGGGATGCGTACATACCAATATCCTAGAGCGCTTGGAGGGTAGCATTCAAAAGCAATTTGGTCAGAACACATTCCCTGCACCAACGGATACATCCAGGCATTTAGGCCAAGCACTACACGCCAAGAAGATAGTTACAGAGCATAAAGACGAGCGCTACGAGATAAAGTACAGTCATGTTAAGCATCTTGTCACATGGCTGGGATGTGGCCAAGCATGGGTGCGTGCCAACCTGTTCCCTAGTCTTCACTATAAACACACTTGCGATCCTCAGTAGTGGGGGATCCAATTTTCATCTCTCTAAAAGCGTATTGTGTAATACCTTCTTGTACTCTCTTAATACTTTTTAACAATTAGACTACGGGTGTTCCTACCTACAGTCCTCCGGATTAATCTTCGTCTCTTAAGTTCTTTCACTCTCTAAACTCAGCAAACCACCCTAAACCAGGTTCATACCTTGACTCTTGAGCTCGACGTCTTGCCAAGAGCCAATCTTGGTTGCAAACAAGTGCCTCAAGCGATTAAGTGCTAAGACAACTTTTGTAGTTTGTTAGAATGTTGCCGCTAGAACTGAACTCGTGTTCTATAGCTACGGTTGAAATCACCATGGATAAGACTTGTCTGGCTAGCATTTCGAGAGACGGGAACACGTGTTCAATCTGCTTCCACCATTGAGGACGTCAAACTCGTTATTATTGTCTTCATTGTAGTCGTATGGGACTCTTTGGTACATCGCAAGTTCATTGTGTGAACATACACTTGTACCACCTAAACTCATTAAGGCAGAACTACTATACGCTTACCTTTTTTCGCGACTATCCCTTTAAATTTTTTTGTCTTTAAAGGCAGAGGAGCTGCTATTTCTTCTAGTGCACTACTGTACAAAACTTGAAATTCTTTAAATAACTACTCAAAAAGATCAATTACATTATCTCTATCTTTTGTCCATTCTATTAAATGGTCATAGAAATAACTATTTTCATCTAAAAAACAAGTGTAGTAATACTCCATGAGAATTCTAAAACTATCAATCTTAAAGGGTGGATCACATATAATATATATTTTATAAATATAAAAAATATACAAGTAATAAGCACATCATTTATTCTTCATAGGATACACATAGGGGTACAAGTGTAGATCGGATAAACTTTCACGAAAACATGTTGCAATTGTAATACACTCAGAAAAAAATCTGATTGTCGTAGGTTTGTAAACATGCGAGAAAGTAAGAGTTGCATTATTAAATATTTCTAAAACGGTATTCAATTTTTCAAAAGAGTAAATTCATTCAAATAAACCATATAATAAAGTTCATACCTGAGAAATGAAGCATGTTCCTCTTTATAGTCGAGAATATGTGAAATCAATTTATGTGTACTATTCCAACAAATCGTAATGTCCTTGAATGAATACGACTAGCCTAAATCTTTTTTAAACCACCCTTAATATAGATCAAAATCCCCCAAGAGCTGCTAATCCCTGCATACAAATTTAAAACATGACAGGCGTACCTTTGCTGTAAAAATCTACCCATGGCGGTACTAAGTGGTAAGTCTAGGAATTGTATTCTTTGACAACAGTATCTACAATAGTATTATTAGTAGCATTATCAAAACCAAATGCAAACATTTTATTAGTTAAATTGTATTCTTTGAGAAAACGCTCAAGCAAAAGAACAATATTATCGATCACTCGTGTGAGATTCATTGAAATCTCAAAATGCAAAAACACATTTATGCATTTTCCAATCACTATTTATCCAATGACAAGTAACACCAGACAAATTATGATAAGTTTCACTCCTAACCAGAACAAATAGTAGCATGAGAATTAAAAGTGAGAAAAAATTTACCATATTATTTTTTTGAACTTTATATTATCTAATAATTTCTCTCTTAATTATTTTTCTTGAAAACCCTCTTGCTTGAGGGTTTAGTGTTGTTCGACAATAATCAATAAATCTAAATTTTTCAGAAAACATATATGGTAAATTTTCCTCGCAAATCATTTTGGCTATTTTTTACTTATTTTTCTCATCGCTATAATAAAAAAACACCCTTACTCTTGTTTGCAAAATGACAAATTTGGGGGTGTACTTGTCCATCTTCGCCATCATTTTGGCGTACTCCAAGGTGTTTGGCCGGTCCACCTTAACCCATGGAAGTTCCCATTCTAATGTTTGTCCCATAATCTGTAACGTCCCAAAACATACCCTAGAATTATTAATGAATAATTATGCGATTAATCAAATTTGTTTTGATTAAAATAAATTGTTGTTTGGATTTGGACCGAAATGAAATATATTCTAATACCCCGGGTTATATAATATCACAATCTGGATAAATCTCATAGAGATAAATCCAACGTGTTGACTTATTGCGTAACCTTGGTTGGGAACTTGAGTACAGACCCAAATCAACAATAAATGAAGAAATTGTTATAATGTGAACTATGAAATGATTTATTAAAATAAATCATGAGAATAAATACTATGAATTGAATGTAAGAACCTTTTTTTAATAAAGGTCAACTAAATCAATTTTTACTCTCTCAAAGTCAAACACTCAAAAATATGATGTCAGAAAAAGTAATACAAATAAATATAAAAATGATATCGTTGGAAAGAGTTTAATTGTCCGATCACAACGGTGCAAACAGAATTCAATTCAGAGAAAGTTAGAACAAAAAGTGTACCCTGACTGGAACCAAAATTAGTTCCAATCAGGGAACGGCGTGTGAAGTCCTAAAAATTCGTCGTCCTGCGCACTAAGCCGATCATCAACGCAGAAATGGAATCTTGAGTCATACCCATGTCTTTTTCTTCACTTCTTCTTCTATAAAAAGGAACCCATTATCTTCCATTTCTTCATCAATTTCCTTCAAATAAACTCCGAGAGGAAGCTGTGAGTGTGGAGAATAAAGATGCTGTCAATTTGTTGTGAAGTCGTCGGAGCTAGCCACAAACCTCGCCGGAAGTTTCACCGGAAAATTTCTAAAACCTTCGTTAAGCATCGAGGTAAGCCCGTAGGTATATTTAGTGACTAGAATGTTTGTATAGATCGTTTCTACGTTCATAAATGGTCGTTTGGTTGAGTTTTGTGTTTGACATGCTTGAAGAACCAAGAATCATAAACCATGAAATTGTTGTTAAAACTATGAATTAATGATACCAAAATGATCTATGAACCTTGGAGAACAATTCTATATAATTTAGTTGAAGTTCGGTAACTAAAAATGGTATTTTCGAAATTGGACCCGAACGAAGAAGATGATGAACAGTGAATGAAAACTAGCAGAGTTGGATCGATACAAGGGCCTGGATTGATCCCCTGGAAGATGTTTCTTCTAGTTGGATCGATCCAGAGGGGCTGGATCGATCCCCCAAAATTCTGACCTTAAAATTTGCGTGAAAATGCTATTTTTGAGCTCTAAAATCCTGTTTTTGATGCCAATTGATTATGATCATTATAAAGATGATTTTTCACAATAAAAATGATATTTTTAACAAATAAAAATGTGATCCATGACGGTAAGTTCAGGTGTTAACACTCGAAGCTAGGTCGCTATTTGCTATCAGATGTTATGTTAATTGATGATTATGATGAATGATTATTATGGATATGAATAATGAACCTACTGATAAAAATGATTACTTATGGTTGAACCATGAGTAAAATGAATACATTGTTAACTATAAAATGAATTGTATTGTTAAGGGTATCTAGAAGAACTATAAGATATACGCATTTAGATAATTGATGTTAAGGCTATCTAGAAGACCTCTAGAATAGATCTCAGATTAGAATGCATTTGTGAAAACATAAATATTCAATGATTTGGATAAAAACGTAAAAACGGAATTTGTACACCAAACTAGAGGATTACTCGTTTGGAAATACTTCAACTCAATGATGATTAATCATTGTCTTATTGTTGTCTTAAACTATTTATCGTTTAAGCGTCTCAGAATTATTGTTTACCTTAAACTAATTTAGGTTTAAGCGTCGGAGAATTGTTGCTTTAAACTAATTATAGTTTAAGCGTCTGAGAATTGTTTGCCTTAAACTAATTATAGTTTAAGTGTCTGAGTATGAAAATTATGATCTGGCTTTAAACTAAGAATTGCTAAGAGCGTTGTTATGATCTGGCCTTAGACTAAGATTAACTAAGAGCATTGTTATTATTTGGCCTTAGATTGAGAATAATTTAAGAGTACTGTCGAATTAATATCTTAATTGAATAAAATATTTTGATCTGAACTGAATAATATCAAAATTGTGAATGTCTGAATTGAAAATTGTGTGCATGATATCAAATGATTTGATTATGAATTTAGCTTCAGTTTATATGGATGTTCGACACATTAGATATCCTTACTCAGCTTCACCGATGAGCGTACACAGAAAGAACAATGTGATCTTTGTGGCAGATGGGGTGAGATTGTCGGGATATAAGTCACAAGTCTTGAAATGAATCATTATGATATGACAATATTTAAATTCACTTCTACAATATTGTTGAATACTTCGTACTGCATATGTTATGAAAAATATTATTGTAAATAAAAGTGTGTGCAAAGTTTTAAATCCTTATGATTACCAAGATAATACTTTAGTCCGAAAAGAGCTGCAGACCTGGACGGATTAGGGTGTTACATAATCGTTACAAATCCATATTTTTACGAAACTTTTTTGTATCTTTACGAAAAAGGTATACAAATAGAACGAATTTAGGTTTTTTACCATTCCCTAGACCTTCAAAGGTCTCAAACTAACCTCTCTCCTTGTCCCCGTTGGTAGAATCGTTTTTCTCGGGTGTTGGTTTAACCTCCTCATCAACGTTCTTGAATATATCTTCAAGAATTTGAAGATTGACATCATTCCTACCTCTCATGCCGCCCATGAACTTCTCGGGGATTATAGGAAAAGAAGAGACAGCCATTGAGAAGCATGTGAGCTTGAACCTTCGGAGGTGGTGTGGGCTTTGCCTTTGTTAGAACCTCCACTTCCACTATTCACAACGCGCATATCTACAGACCTTCTACCAGACTCCCTTGTTATTTTAATATATTTTTTATATTGATAAAAATAAGATAATATATTAGAATATTATAATATTCTAAATTTTAAATATTGGAATTATATTATATTTCAAATATATTATAATATAAATATATAATATATGATTATAGTAAAAATAAAAAATATATAAGCATGATTATATTAAGAATTGAGAAGAATTAGAGATTTAGAAAGAGAGATTGAGAGAATATGGTTTGTGAATTTGTTTTAAAAAATTAGGGGTATATATAGGTATAAATTAACCCCCCACCCCCAATGGCTTTATAGGTGTTACCCAATGTTAGTCTAGGAAAAAGAAAAAAAATTAATCAAAACTGGAATCGGTGGTTCAGGTACCCAAAAATTTGACCAGGAATCAGACCTGTATCCACCGATTCCAAGTTTAGACACACACACACACAAGACACATTGGCCTGCCACCACACCAATCAAGCCTTCCTTGTTTCCCCATATACTACCTAAGGGATACGTCCAAAATAGCCAACTCATTCCCCTCTTTTAGCCCTTCCCTTGGCCGAAATAATCCCACCAAAACCAATCAAATAGGTGGGTTATTTTCACATGGTCATTACCTCTACCTATGGCCAAAATCACAACCCCACAAGTACAACTCATCCCTAAATTTTCTCCGTACCAAAAGAACAAGAGCAAGTGGAGGTCATGCTACTGATTTGAGAGAAAAAGATAGGAAGTTTCCATCCTTAAAACACCAAAAGAACTCCCCTTTCCATCCTTTATATTTCGGCCACCCTTAATTTCCCCTATACCATACCATATTTTCATCCTCAAACAGCAACTTGATTGTACCCTGGGTCTCAGGCCTAACCGAAGGTCTTTCACCACTCAAGAACCTTTTTGCATTAGGATTAACAGTAGATAGATAAGCGGTGCCGCTAAATTTGTTTTTCTGAATAGCAAAAAATTTGTACTAGCAACAAATTCATATCAAGATAAGAAAGACTTAAGCATTTTCAAAATCAAGATGGAAGAAGAGAAAGTTAAAAAATTAAAGACTTCCGAGCTCCCAAGAAAAAATAAAGAGAATTGAGAATAATTCTTTAACTGATTGCTTACTCTTTTAAATGTTTACATCCCCATTTATAAGACAAACGAAAACCATCCTAGTGGAGTCTTAATTTCTAGTCATGTCAATTCAATAAAAACACCAAAATAAATAACTAGAAAGAAATCTTGAAGAAACTTATAGTTTTGCTCACCTATTAAAAAATATTACTCATTGCGATATATGATAAATACAAACTAATAAATAAATACGGAGTAGTTAAATAATCTAATCTACCATTCGTAACATCATTCCAATTTCTTCCGACATCTAAGTTCTGTTTTCGTAATCCAAAAGAAGAGAGCTTATATGACTCATGATTAGAGAGAGAGAGTTTTTGTTTGACAATTGAATTTTTGTCATGGAATTAAGGGGAGAATGTATCTGGTTAAAGCTCAAATTCTTTTTGCAACATCCACACAATCGAAGTCTCTTGAGTATCCCAATTCAAAGAGTACTCAGTAAATACTTGTCAATAATATGCAACGGAAAATGGTACGGTGGAGCAGATACAGAAAAGAAAAGTTACCTAATAAGATATGGCGACTACGTACATTACAAATTAAGGTGGTCCTCTTTGAAAATGGTTAGTGTCATACTTGAAGTACACTATGCAGGTAGAATCCTATTTCAGCTACTTCACAATGAAAGAAAACGCTGGCTTCACGATTCTCGTGGGCCATCAAAAGATTGAGTCTTCCTCACATTCCAATGAAGGCCATTGTGGATACTGTGCAAGAAGTCGGTGGTGGAGTTAGCTTCACAAGCAGTTGGAACTGGCCAAGGCGCCATGCTGCATATAAGTGCATCCCCAGGTGCAAGTTGTTTTCTGTCTTTACCGTCAAACGATGCCCACGCATGACCCCGGCTGTTAAATGGCACTACCACTCGGAGGGTCACATGCTCGGGTAAGATCAGTGGTCTGAACGATAGGGAGTGCGGACAGATTGGTGTGAAAAGGATGCCAGGAACCTGGTCGATCAGAACAATTTTACATTCATACGCTCATGACTCATCATCTTAAATGGATGGATTTTGCAGTACAGACAAGAAGAATGTCTAATGAACATATATGATTCAGAGGATTCACATATAAATGCAACTCCACTTTAAGACCAGACTTTTTTTTTTTTGGGACAAATATTTAAGATGAAGGTTGACTCTTAAATCCAGACTCTTTTCTCACTGGGGCATTAGTACATTCACAAGGTCATCACAATTTTAACCTTAACATATTGAAGACTTCTCTTCATGATATTCTTTCTTTTAATAGACTTCTCTCAACAGAATGAAATTCAAGAAATGTACTTCCATATCCAGATTACTTTAGCTTCTATAATTAAAAAAAGCATACAAAGGTTTTCAAAAGTTACATCCAAATCCCAGGTGCACGCCAAAAACTAACCGCTATTAACAATAAGCACTCTTAAATTAACAAAAAAGAATGTTATTGTACACAGTAACAGAAACAAAGCCATTTTTAAAACGTAACGGACATAGCCTTTAATAATAACTATAAATGAGTGTACCTGAGGATGCACCATAGACCCCCCTGCTGCAAGTGAATAAGCAGTACTCCCAGATGTTGTAGATAAAATCAAGCCATCCCCTTGGACACAAGTGACAAATGAGTTATCACAATAACATTCTAGGTTTGTGAGAAACGATGAAATTCCACGGTCAATCGTAACCTCATTGAGAACAAGAACATGCCCTTCAGTTTCAAATTCATTTTTAGCAGTATCTCGGATCACATGGCATTGCAGTCGATGCCTTAATGTGATGTTAATGGGACCACGAAGAATTGAAGTCAGGTATTGTTTATATTGTTCACTATCTAAATGATGTTAAGGTAACTTTAAACTTGAGGTGAAGTTATTACTATCCAATACAACTCTAACGTATGTATGCTAATCACCTAAGTCAAAATGAATTTGCTCCAAGAAACTAGAGTAGGATACGGAAAGGGGTCATGAAGCCCAGAGAGCCTAGGGAAAATGAAACAACAGGTGGGACCGGACCTTTGAACATTGATGCTGCCTGCAATTCCAAGTTCAAACAACATTATTAGAGAAAACACGATAACAAGATATATGGTTAGAGGTCCCAAAGGCACCAAAAAAGTGAAATGAAAATAGAAAAGTAGATAAGGTACAAATATAGCACTCAAGATAGCCATTCATTCTTAACCAGTGGCAAGATATTCATAATTTCTTTTCAAGCATAGGTCGCATAACATGATTTTTCAAGAACATTTTCTTGCACACATTTAATAGAATCCATAAGCTTCACAGTTAAAATAGCAGCACACAATTTTTGAATGCCTAAACGTACACCCACAAGAAGCAACCCCAATGGGAGATGTACACGTGTTATTCACGGAATCGGTATTCAATTCTATTGCTTCTAACAGTTACACAAAATGGAAACACTAAAGATGGTCCATCAACATACCCAAAGGACAGTCCCATCTCCACCCAAAGTTACAACGAGATCAACTTTTGAGTGCAGGAGCAGAATCTCCTCCTCTGTGAAGTAACAAGCACAAACAAAGTTGCTTTATCAATGCTTTGACACATCTCAGGACATTTTGGACAAAGAAATACCAGCAACTTCTGCAATATATGGCATAAAGTGAAAGCAAATATCTGATCGAATGCAGCAAAATTATATTCCCTCCGTCCCACTACTACTCTCATACCATATTTGGTAATATTTTTGTGGTTCACATTATTTCATATTCTGTCTTACTTCTTAACATCAATATCGACCACACAATCTTACTTTTCTTTATTTCAGTGACACTCTTTCATGTGATCCAACAAATAATGGGACAGAGGGAGTAACTATTAACCTAAAAGGCTAAAAAGAGAAGGTATCATTTGTGGGTTCTAGGACTTGGGGTAGCTAAGAATGCTCCACAGTTGCCTTTTGTATAGTTAGTTAAATTTAATTGGTGGTTTGTGTGAACCCTTCAACTCAATTATGGAAATTGCTTGCTGTTATCTACCTTTGTGTGTGTGTGTGTGTGTGTTTAATCGGTAACAGTACAATTTTTTAACAAGAAACTGCAAAAGATTACAAACCCCAGACCTTACCATCCTCCCATGTTTGTACAAAACTGTAGTATGAGAACTCTGATAAAAGGTCAGCTCTTACTCGTGGTTCTACAAAAACGTTCAGGTTTTTCTGTTCTTTCAACCATCTGAAAATCCCAACAAAACAGACATAGCTTATACCTCTGAATAGAAGCAATCCGTAGAGCACCAATTACAGCAAGACTAGGACTAATGTGTGCATATTTGTCAGACAGGGATCCAATTCCATCCTGTTAAGGATATGTTGGCTATTCATAATATACTTCATCTCATGGAAATTGAATTCGCAAGACACACACAAACTGTATGTGAAATCACCACCCCCCCCCCCACACACACACACAAAAGAGTGAACAACAAATATTTCCAAGAGCGAACAATGGCTATTCATACTCTACTTCAGGGAATATTCCCAAGAGTGAACAACAATGGGAGCGAATTGAAATTGATTTTGGAAGGTTCAAGTATGTGAAGCCAAAACCCCCAGAGGCCCAAACAAAAGAAGGATATAGTATGAACGCTCAGAATATGTTTGCCTCTCCAAAATTGTAGACACGTTTAGTAACCAAACTCCCAAAGCTTTGTTTGAGTGACTGGACATCAATAACATAAACACAGTTATAACTACAGCCTACAGGGCTCACGTTTGCATTTTGTAAAATTATTCATATTTGGACTTTGGAGTAAAAAAACTATGTATGTTACATAGTTGGTAATTTGGTACGAACCATATCACGTATGATTTTTTATCCTTAGCCAGCCATGTGGTAGGTATACTAAAGGCAACTAACCAAGCTCTCCTATATCATCTTAAAGACTAGCTGAAAAACAATCTTTTCCTGAAGAAAGAGAGGTACATACAGTTTTGTTAGATGGAAAGTAATTGGCTAAGACATATGCCCACGGAGTAAAGGGTAACTGCCAGTGTGGAACAAAAAGCAGTCTAACGCGAAAGTAATAATGTATAGAACAGGCGAACATGCCTGTTCAGGAATAATACCCTTCACCGAAGTCGGGGTCTCAGGTATGTCAATGGGAGTCACCTAACCCAGCACCACAACTATTACCTTGTCCCGAAACAGTTTGAGGAAAAAGCTTAAGAATATGTGCAAAATGTGGATATTTCAGATTGGAAAGTTAAATCTAGGTATACTGAAGTACTTCTTTGAGTGGGACTACTGGCCTGAGCAACAACTCAAGATTGTTATTCAAAATTGAGACAAAAGCATATGTCTTCATCCATTCTAGATATCGCAACAACTTTGGTATTACTGAAATTGGACATTGACTTTTCAACTCTGGTTTGCCTATGCTGCAATTTTGTGGTTGCTGGAGTATTTGCCAAGATTGTCCAAGTCCAATTGATAGGAATATTTTATAGAAATGAATTAAATGGAAAGCTTGCAATCTCCTATGGCTCTAGTTCGGGGGGGGGGGGGGGGGGGGGT